GAATGCATAGTGACATGCTTAGCCCATACGGGCCCTAGCCTCCCAGTAGCGTCCACACACAGTAGTGGAGATGAGCGTAGGACAGACGGAAATATGGGGCAAGTCCATGTCCTTCCCAAGGCGACAGAGCATTTAGGAGAGTCAAAAATGTTTATACTAAAAAGGTGTTTGGCCAGACAGTCATGGCCCGTTACAAGTCTAAAGAGAGCGACTGCCTTAAACCTGGGCTGATTTGGGATAGTTAAAATATGATAGAATTAGAATATTAATGCGTCTTTAAGAGGATGCCATACCACACGGGAAAAACTTTTCATCGTAAATTTTCTTTCACCTCCATAACTGATTTAAAATTTGAAATATATATAAAAAAAATGACTTCAGACAAATCTAAAGTAAGCCGTGAAGTTTCAAATACTGAAAATATATTTTAAAATTATCAAAATGAAAATAAATTTTATAGAGAAGATAACTTAGGATTAAGCAATGTAGAAGTTCTCTTCTAATTTGTTTGCATTTCCATATATTGAAATTTTTCTTATCAGCTATTGAAACTTCATGGCTTGCTTTAGGTTTGTCTGAACTCACTTTTTTTTAAATTTTGAATTAGCAATGAACTTAAAAGAGAATTTGAGATGAGAAGTTTCTCCCGTGGCATGGCATTATCTTAATATTTATGTTGATCTAGGATTTATTTATATCTAGGAATTTTATTTTTTTATTAATTTTAAATAAATATTAATATTTATAATTTTATCAACATTTCTAATTTTATATTAATTTAACTATCACATTTTTCTAAAAAGAAGTTTTCAACATTAGATTTTTGAATTTTCATGTGCTTTTCTTAAGTGGACGTCTCTCTTTAGCGAACTTAACAGATCAAGATGTGTTCCCATTACCAATGTTTTCCTGAACTAAAAATTCTGCACAAGAGCAAAAATATGTCAAGCCTAAACTAGAAATTCCAGCTAGATTATTAAAAAACGAATGGAATATATACGGCAGCATTAGCCATTCAAAGTTGGCAGCTCTGTTTATAAGATTTTGTATTGTTGGAAATGTCTTGGGGAAAAATGGTTAAATAACAATTTATAATTGTCCTTTTAGCATATTTGAATAATGCAGTCAAATAGCAATAAATAAGATGGTATTCAAACTGTTAACTTTGAGAAAAACGGTTTATAAACTGCTTTCCCCTAATACTGTTAAAACACTCGAAATTTATAGCACCAGCTAGGCCCACCTAATGAAGGTACTTAGTTCCTTTAGCATGTTACATATTATTGCTCAATCTCATGACCGATACACGGGGCGTTTTAGTTCCAGAGTTGATACCACAATATTTCCTCCATTCCCTTCAACACATGAAAAGTTTCCAGTGTCATGCACACTCCAATTAATGACCCTGGACTTTTAGAATACGATATTCTCTTTCACGCATAGATGGCAGCACCATAAATCTGCTTAATACAAAAAAAGTCTGTAATTTCACATCTCTTACGATAGGTGAAGCAACTAATTAAACCACATTCCACGGTTCATTTCATAATACGCAACCAAACCACAACCTGACTGAAATGCTCATTATCTAATGAGAAACCTAATTCCAAATTCTAGTTAATTTTCTTACGGTTTTAAAACCATGCTAGTTGTTAATGGTTAAAAAACTATAGTTCATTCATGGTTTTTTAATCATACTAGTCGAAAACGGTTTCAAAATCATTATAGTAATGTTCTTTGCGGTAAAATTTATGGTTGATTGGATTGGCAAACTGCTGTTGGTTATTTTACCTTCATTTTAGAATGAAAATTCTAACAATGTATCAATGCATAATTTCTTTCTGAAATAGACTGATTGAAAAATATTTTGGCTACCAGTTTTTATTTATTAGAAATAAATTGAAGTCCAGTGTCACTTGTTAATTGGCGAGATTGAATAATAACAAAGATGCCAACGTGCTCCGGACAGCATATATATATTTTTAAGTGGTAGTTTATCAATCCAGTAGATTTTTATCCACCACTATTTCGAAATAATTCGCAGGTTTATATGATTCCCCACTTAGTAATTATGTTATGATATGTCCTATAAAAAACAAGCAATAATAGTAAAATATTTGTAAAATTGACTTGTAGTTATTCAGAGATGCCAACTTGCTCCGGACAGTGAATAAATATTTTTGAGTGGTAGTTTATTAATTGTGATTCTTTGTTTAATAAATTCAATTTATAACATTTTTATCCGCCACTATTTCTAAATAATTCGTTGGTTTTTATGTTCACCACTTTATTACAGTATGTCATGCTAAATCTTTTAAAAAATTTGCAAAATTATTCAAATGTTTGCATAAGCTTAAATGTTGTAATAAGCTTAGCATAGGTTGTACATTCTTACTGCGAGATAGAATTACCTTTCTCCATATTATTGCATGAGTAATACCTGAGATTCCCCTCAAAAAATTTGAGATTCCTTCAAAATAATTTTCCAGTGGTAGTAAACTAAAGCAGAATTTTTTTGAGACAAATAGATTTTTCATAATTAAAACTTAAGAACATGAATATCAACCCGTCTAACCGTTTCATAGCTGCCATTTTTTTACACTTGTTGGCTAACATTCTATATAGTGGTAGTATTATAAGAATTAATTTTACAATTGTTATCATAAACATTATTAAACTATGCAGCTGTGTACTTAATATTTTTAAAGAATATTGTTACTTTTATATATTTATTTAAATTATTTATACGTAATGATGGTCAAAATCATTTAAAGTCTATTTCGTTAAACAGAAATAACACTATTAAAGTAAATGTATTATGACAGCTTTACCAGAAAGAATGTTCGTAATGATAAAAAAAAATCATAAGATAATTTTATATTTTTTATAAATAGTGGTGGAATAAATTCTTTTAATTTTAATTTATTACAATACTTATACATTACTATTGTTAGATCGATATAGGCTGGTAGGAAGGGCACTGGACGTTTGTGAGAACGGGAGTTCGAATCCAGCAGTCCGAAGACTCCCCGTGTAAATGGTGACTGGTGCACGTTAAATCTGTCAGCTCTCAAAGTCCTTCATGTTCCCCAATCAAATCAATACTTCTGGGGGTACTGAGTTGGAGATTAATCCTTTTCTGGTTCAGGTCAAAATTTTGATATGGGGATGAATAAATGGATGTATGAATGGGTCCGCCCTAAATCGGGTGCGACGTATGGGTGTGGCAGACGTCGAATTCTTGGCCATAGATGGCGCCACTGGAAAACAAGAACCATCGCACCCCCTATGTCCCTAACGGCAGACGACAACAACAATACTATTGTACCCTTTAAAACGAGTACCTTCTAAAACTACGGAAATTCCATAGAGGATATGTGAAAGTCAAAAAGTATTGAAACTTACAAATTTTATTTGAACACATTTTCCTAACAAATTAGCATATAGTGGCAATCATAAATGTATAAAATAATCGAGGTTTGTTTGCTTTTCGTTGCTAACATCAAATATTCAAGTTCCTAATGCTAATTTATAATTCAACGGCATTTAACTACTCGCTCTCTTTTTTTGAGATTTTCTTCTTAACTGTAATTGGTCGCAATTATTATTCATAATTCAAGCTTTTAATTCTTTTAAAATTTGCTGCCTAAACTAAAAAAGCAAAATATCATGTTTTCCTTTTTATTAAAAAAAATATCAAACAGGAAAGCGGGCAGTTAAAAGACGCTGGATTAGAAAATTGCACCCCGTGCGATTCAGTTTTATTATTGGTTCAGGCAGATTTTTACTCACCTTTCCTTCCCTAATTTCTTTAGCTAATTGATTTGCCGATTTAAGAAGCAACTGGTTCCTTGCTGGTGGTACTGAATTTTGTTCTCTCCAGAATGCAATGGTCAAAACAATTCGAAATGTATAGGCGATTACATAGAAGATGGTTCTCTCCAGCCACCATGTAATTTCAGTCATATTAGTCACCTAGTTGCATAATAATAAACTAAACAATGAGATACAATTTAATCATAATGAGTGTTCATTAGTGAATCATAATAATTTTGTAAACACTTTAATATCGAATATTGTAATTACATATCGAACAAACTATAAGAAAGAAAATTTGCTTAAATTACAACTTGCAGCTCTTGCTTGTATAGTTAAGTCTTGTAGATCTAACTCTAGAACAAGATAATAACTCTCTCAATTCTAGAATTCTTAGTCTTAGTTAGAGTTATTGCAACAAGATAATAACTCTAGCATTAAGCTATCAAAGTTTCAATTTCCTTAGCACTTGAATTGCAACTTTGTTCTCAAAATTCTTTAACGAAATCTCTTTTAAGCATCATACATCATTGAAATCGAGAGCTGTTTGTTTCGCTTGCTCTTTATTTAAAAACAATGATATATAAAACGTTTCTAATGCAATGTAATAGCAAACAAAATGGTAGAAGTTATGAAGTTAAACCACTAATGCTTGTGTGAACATGTTCCTCAATTAAAACATTTAATTATCTTTTCGTTTAGTTCTTTTTCTCTCAAAAATTTTCCTCCATTGAAAAGTTGAATGCTTTAAGCAGCACAATGATTAACCTGAATAACGTAATTTAAAAAAGCATTTATGAAGTGACTTTTAAATGAAGAATTATGGTGAGAATTTTTCTATATTCAAGGAAAAAAATTGGATTATTTTTGTTATGTCAATTGGTTAAATGAAATGGAATACTTCTATGCACCATTGGGAGGCAGTTTTTCGAACAATAGCATTACAATAGCATTAATTAAGTGTTTGATATTGTAAAATAATTTTAAAAAAAACCTATTAAAAGGAAATTGTCCTACCTATTAAAAGGAAGCCTATTAAACCTATTAAAAGGAAGGAAGTTTCATATTCGCTTACGTCCCGCAGTGGACTGATCGTTAAGACACGGTTCCCAGTAGATCACCGAAGTTAAGCATCACTGGTTGCGGTCAGTGTGCGGTAGGGTGACCATTTGGATCAGTCTGCGTAGGGACCGAAGGTGTGCGGTATTGGTCCTCATTAAACTGTTCTACCGTAAAGTGCTCGATTTCGCGTGCAGGTCGCTGGGCTACCGAAGCAGGGGTGCCATCCCCTCTGCAGATGATCAAAATTGTGAGGGCATGTCTTCGGATCATCCTCAGGGATGTTTCCCAGACCGTCCTCAATAGCCCATTGTGCAGCTCTAGTGCGACGTAAATGAACAAATCAAACAAATCAAATCATATTCGTTTACATTTGAGCTTTATAATTCATAAAGAAAAGGTGTCTACCGTTTCAAGCAAAATCTCTTTTAGTGAATCTGTTAATTATCACTTTTTTTAAGTACCAATTCCTACTGCTTAACATCAGATTTGTTCGATAAATTGTTTCTTAAAAATTAGCAAAAAATCAAAACACCTTTTCACTTAAAATGAATGAGTTTATTCTCCTTCTCAAAAGAGAGGAAATTTTTTAAACTTAAGTTGAGTTGAATACACCTATGTTTGAGTCAAATATTTGCTTTGCTTTAAATCGAACTTGATTTGTCGATGTTTAAGCAGTATTGGAGTTATTTTGGCTCACGCATGATTTGATGAGTAGCAACATACCAGTTTGTAGACACTGTTAAAACCAGACTTCATTTTTTTATTACTTAATTGTATGAGAGCTATAAGCTGAAATTTGTAAAAATGATATGCAATTCAGGACTAGCGTTTAGAGCAGTTATGTCAAAGATACGGCCCGCGATCACAATGTGTCACAGAAAGAAGAATCATATTTTTAGAGCTTTTAGACTTCACTCGATTCCTCCTCGGAAGTTTTAAAATGCGCACACTACATTTATAAGTAATTTCAAGGGCAGCGCGTGCATTGACAAGCGATAGAGATAGACAGTAACGTCATTTCTTAGCATCATGAGGAATCTTCCAAGAGCTTCAAATCTAGACTAAAACCTTCCTTACCGATATGAAAAGAGTGCGTCGGCTCGACGTGAGTCAGTTTAGTCGAGTAATCGAAGCGATACGGTAGGAGAAGGATTTTAGTTGTACTGCGAAGTAGTGATTGTGAAGGTAATGTGCATTTGTTTGTGTCGTGCGCGTACGATATCCATAATTGTTGTGTCGAGTTTTATAAATGTTACGATTGTGGCATAATGGCACAAAAACGTAAAGTTGATAGTGAGTGCAGAGTTTTTCAGTCTAAATTGGAAATTGCATATTTTTTTATAGAATGGAAAGGTAAACCACTGTGTTTGATTTGCAATAAAACAGTTTCTGTTTGTAAGGAGTTTAACTTGAAGAGACACTATGATACGAATAGTAAATTACGAATAGAAAAATAAACTCATGTTTGTGAAAATTGCAACACCATGAAGGAACCGTCACAATTTAATGAAATTTTAATACACAGTTGAGTGGTAGTGGTACAAATAAATGACTAAACTTTCAAAGAAAACAGACAATAACAAGAGATCAAAATCAGTATTTTGTGTAGCTACCACGCGTCGCAAAAAGTGTTGCTACATGACGTGGCATGGAGTCAAACAAATTTTGAATGTTTGTCTGAGGTTGCATTTCATATTGTTTGTATGCGTACCCAAAGTTCGTCTGTAGGAGCAACAGGGCGAGGATCATGAGCGAGATGCCGACCAACGAAGTCCCACACATGTTCAATCTGTGACATATCCGGGGAATACGCAGGCCAAGGAAGAAACTGTACCTGCTGCGATGCAAAGAAGGATTGAACAGTCCTAGCAATATGAGCGTGGGCATTATCCAGTTGAAATACAGCGCCTGGCAAGGCTTGAAGGAAGGGAACAGATTGGGAGCTGTAGAACTTCACCGGTGTACCGGTTGCTGTTCAGATTACCCACAATTCGTAGTAATTGAGATCGTCCATGATATGCTATGGCACCCAGACCATAACTCCGGGTGTTCGTCCACTGTGGCGTTAGATAAAGCCCTCTGGAAGGTGGCGTTCACCGGCATAGCATCTGACGCGAGTGCGGCCATCGTGGTACCACAAATTAATGCTGGATTCGTGAGAAAACACGACACGCTGCCAATCAGCACTCCAGTCTCTATGCTGGTTGGTCCATTGTTTCCGCAGGCGGCGATTGTTTAGCGTGAGGGGGATCCTGTATAAAGGAGTACTTGCGCGCAGTCCACGCTGCAGCAGAAGTCTACGAATTGATGAAGCACACAATGAAGCACCTGTAGCTATTGACCAATGTGCTGCCAGTTGTCTAGAGGGAGTCGCACGGTCCGCCAGCGCCATGCGGACCAGGTGTCTATCATCGTGAGCTGACGTGACATTTCGAGGTCCACTCCCAGATTTCCGAGTTGTCTTACAATCGTCCGTTCACTGCCTCCAAACACGCATCACTGTGCTGCTGTTACGCTGCACACGAGCGGCTACTTCACGATAAGACAATCCAGCTTCACGAAGGCCGATTATTCTCCCCCGTCCAAACTCCGTAAGTTGTTGAAATCTCTCTCTCTCTTTCGTCGAAGAGGCATAAGTGACGACTGAGCTTAAGTTTACCACAAGCAGAAAACCACCGATAACCATACACACCTCGCTACAGCCGTCTATTTATTCGGATCCATCCGCCGTTCAAAGGCGCTGCTCAGCATATGCATGCGCTACGGATCTGAAATTCTAATCATTTACATATTGACCCTACTTTGCATTTCCTGAAAATTTCAGCTCACTCGCATAAGTCCTTCATGGTGTTGCAATTTTCACAAACATGAGTTTAGTAAATTTTATAAGGAGCCAAGGACAAAATCACCGACAGTTCAGGCAGATTTTACANCTACTTCACGATAAGACAATCCAGCTTCACGAAGGCCGATTATTCTCCCCCGTCCAAACTCCGTAAGTTGTTGAAATCTCTCTCTCTCTTTCGTCGAAGAGGCATAAGTGACGACTGAGCTTAAGTTTACCACAAGCAGAAAACCACCGATAACCATACACACCTCGCTACAGCCGTCTATTTATTCGGATCCATCCGCCGTTCAAAGGCGCTGCTCAGCATATGCATGCGCTACGGATCTGAAATTCTAATCATTTACATATTGACCCTACTTTGCATTTCCTGAAAATTCCAGCTCATTCGCATAAGTCCTTCATGGTGTTGCAATTTTCACAAACATGAGTTTAGTAAATTTTATAAGGAGCAGAGGACAAAATCACTGACAGTTCAGGCAGATTTTACAAGATTTGGACGAAAATTTTTCTGATGTCACTTTTTTCACCGAAGTTCGTTGGCTCAGTCGAGGAGTAGTTTTAGAAAGATTTTTTGCATTACGTGACCCTATTCAAGCTTTCATGTTAGAAAAAGGCAACCCAATTGGTTATGACAATGACTGGTGGACTGATTGTGCCTTTTTGGTAGATATGAATATACACTTGACTGATCTGAATGTAAAGTTCCAGGGTAAAAATTTGATTGTCATTTAAATGTATTCATGTATTCAAGCATTTGAAACAAAGTTGAGGCTGTGGGAAAATCAGGTAAAAAATCTAACTTTGGATCATTTCCCTCATTTAAAATCATTTGACACAGTGAACCAAAAAAATTGGATCAATATTCTCAACTTCTGCAAAATCTGATCACGGAATTCAACAATTGTTTTGTGGACTTCCACAAAATGAATGAAATGGAATTTTCAATTTTCAACAATCCATTCAATTTCGAAGCTTCACAGGTACCAGTTCATTTGCAATTGGAGTTGATATATCTTCAATCGGACAGTATTTTGAAAGAAAAATTTAAGGAGGTTAACGCTCCTACATTTTATACACAATATTTAAAGATTTTGTATAACTACCCGAAATTAAAAAAGCATGCAGCACGCACATTCTGTGCATGTTTCGTAGCACCTATTTTTATGAGCAGATGTTTTCCGTCATAAAAATAAATAAGAACAAACATCGCGCAAGACTTACGAATGCACATCTCCAATCAATTCTTAAAATAATTACAAAAAATATTTAACCGGGCAATGAGCTTGTCAAAAACAAGAGAAGTCGGGATATGGATCCTCGAGCTCAAAATAATTACCCTCTTATATAACTTTGATATGATTTTTAACAACCATATATTATATACTATACAATTAAATAATTAAAATGTTATAAAAATTCAGTACATTTTTTTATTTGACTCTGGCCCACCTACACATTCTAATGCCCTAATAATTCTATGGCCCTCTGCAAAATTGAGTTTGACACCTCTGGTTTAGAGAGAAACGAGAATCTAGCTTCTCTTTTTTTCCTCATCCCTATGCTCAATGACATCATAATATGACGTCAACGATAGATGGGCTCGTTGAACTCCAGTAGAATACAGGAAAAATAAATTAGTAGTACAATAAACAAATTAATTCTTAAAATTTCTACGGTTTTTAAGTCTATCGTTATATTTTTGTTTTTCTTATTGTTATTTTTCCTGCTTTTTTTTTATTTTGAAATTTATTTTTTGTTATATTTATTTCTGTTTGTTTCGTTTTTTTTAAATTTCAAGTTAGTTATTTTTTTTTGTTAAAATTACAAGGGTTCTTTTAGTTAGTGATGTTTAATTTTAAACATGGAAAATTCAACCATGAACACTTTTAGATGTTTTCCCTGTGTAAAGTCATCTTTTCGAAAACGCACCATCAAAAACATCCTAATTTTATTGATATTGTTACACTCTATTGTTGAATAATATTATTATTGAGCTAATTTTATTGTAGAGCTAACTTTAAGCGAAATCAAAACTTATTTTCATACTTTTGATGCTTTTAGTGTGAATTACGATGCGGGAAGAAATTTTAAATAACATTTGAAGACCCTGATAAAATTGCTGAAACAACTTATGGTTTGGTTATAACGGAAACAGCCTCGGGCAGTGGCACTTAACTTTTAAAAAAACATAAGTATAGGGTGTACCGGGCAAATGTATTCCGGGCAATGGCACTTAGCTTTAACAAAAACATAAGTGTAGGGTATACCGGGAAAATGTGTACCGGGCAATGGCACTTAGCTTTAACAAAAACATAAGTGTAGGGTATACCGGGAAAATGTGTACCGGGCACTGGCACATAACATTATAAAACATGAATGTAGGGTAAACCTGTCAATGGTGCTCAATTCGTCCGATTATTAAAAGCATTAAACATCAATTATTATGAATGGCAGCATTCATGCACAAATATTTTCCTTAATCAGAAGGACTGTTATAACTATCTCTAAACATTTCTTCATTTCTCACAGTACTGTTCTTTGCTTCAATTTTTATAAACATCACTTTTCTTTAAAAAAAATAATTAAGAAATAAATAACTGCTTTGAACTAAAATATTATTACTAATGTTACGGTGGTTTAAAGACACAAACTACTACTTATCAATTTAACCTGTGATCGTTTCATTGTCGAATTCATTTACATACTTTAACTATTTAAAATACTTAAATTAAAATGCTTTAATCAAATACAAATTTAAATAACAAATTAAATTAATTAAAAGGCTTTGATTAGTAACAAATGAACTAATTGGCATGGAGAGAACTTACCCATACTGATGCTCATAGTGGAAGTTGGTGAAGCTCTAATGACTCGGTTATACTCTCTTTACTACTGCTTTTGTTGTCTTTTTTTGATCCTTTATACTAAACTTTTTGCTCGATAAAACTACTGCTAAATTCTGGAAAGGTCACATAAGAGATCAAACTTGGACTATAGACTTGTGATTAACCTCTTTTCGACACGTATTTCTTAACTTTAATCAAGAGTGTTTATTTATATTTGCTAGGGTTCTATGTACTAATGGAAGTTTCCACAGTATTTTAAAAGTAATCAATTATTTTGGAATTTACGATAAATCTATTTTAAATGTTTTATTGTGATTCTGAATTAAGTGACGATAAGCGTCACATTTTCCACGCGATCGGAAAAAAAAGAGAAAAAAAAATTCTTGCTACCTGTATAGGCAAGTATCTCTCCAATATACAACTCTGTTATACCAATTATAAACATAAAAGTAGCATGCATTGATATTAAAATTAAAAAAGTATTTTTTCTAATGACACAAGAAACACAAAAAAAATATTACTTAAACAAAATCTGTATAAAAGAAACATAATCATTGTCTAGATACATACTTTTGCACAAGTGTGACACAAGGAAAAGAAGAGAAGAAAAATAATCATGATAAATAAATAATAATTAATTATTGTCGAAAATTATAGAGAGATATATTATCGTCTACAACAGGTAATACATGTTGAAATGACTGTAATACTTAAACAAACTATGATCAAAAATACACCTATCATTTTTAGTATAAAAAATATATTTGATAATGCAGGAAACGATATAAAACTAAAGAAACCTGAACCAGAAGAATCATCACTTATAAAGGATTTAGTGTAAGTGGAATTAAAATTAATAAGATTGATGCTTGGTTCACTTAAACAAAAGAAAATAAATTTACAATGCTTCATCTCCCTCGCAACGAGGCATAATTTTTTATCATAGCATTTATGTTCAGCTTGGAATTTAATTATAAATTCTTTTGGCTCAGTTTCGAAAATCAATGATTGTGTATACAAAGTAATTTTCTGTAATTTAACAGACACTGTTCCTGATTGACAGCTAGAATGAGCACTAAATTTTAGTTCACTGAGAATTTAGCAAGAATAACAGCCTTTAGCTGTCACTGGGCTCTCAAGAATTTTAGGATAAATTTGAGTCGTTCGAAGAGTAATTTTAAAGTCACTAAAAACTGAGAGACAGTTTAACAGGAGCTGTAGATAAAAGGTCTGATATGAGGTAACCTTTTTCTATTGAGAACAAGTGAAGTTCTCTTGCCGAAGGAAGAACCTTTTTCTTGGAATTCACTAGTCTTTGTAGACCATCTGGCTTTCTTGAACATCGTAATGTGGTTTCAAAAAAATCACATTGTGTGATTTCTGGATCGAAGATGAAATTTTTTGTATAACTTTCATTGACTTGGATTTGTCCAACGAGACCTGCCATTGGGACGTGCTGTGAGCTGGTTGGAGTTAGGTAGGCCTCGGAGGGGTCACCTACTCTTATGACAAGAGAATCGGCGAAATGGAGTTGAGGCTGGTTAAGGGAGCCTTGAATTTCTACGAATATACCATCTCTGGTTGGGGTCGAGGATTGAAATGTCAAAACCTCCGAAGTTTTATTTTCAGATCGTTCAATAGCGATAGTATAGGAGCAGTGGTGTCCTGTTATTGAACGAACTTCATATGAGTGGAGAAGATCAGGAACATAGAAGACTCTGTAAGACAAGCACCCCATCCTAGAAATAATTGTGCAGCCACTTCCCACACTAGACGGCTGACAATTCGTTGTTCCTGGGTATGCCTTGCTTTCATCAGTTAGTGCTTTGAAATCCTTATTAGGTGTGCAATGTGTACGCCAAGCACAATGATAATTTTGAGGACAGGCCAACTGACTAATGGTTTTTTCATGAACGGGAAATGTAAAATATAATCGTCTTGAAGAAAACTTACACTGCGCAGCGATGAGTTTTAATTTTAGGTGAAAATGGTTATTTTTATGAGTGTCCTGAAACCACAAACAGGTCTGATACTCAAGATTTTTTAATGTTATCTCCGCTGTAGTAAAAATAGCACAGCTTTGCTATCCATCAACTACTTGACAGTTCTGTAGTTCCAAAGAGATGATGGAATGGCTAGTACAGTCACTTGCGACAGTTGCAAAAAGAGATACAAGCAATAGCAAGGGCAATGTGTTCTGTCTGACTTGTTGCTGTGCATTATTTTCCAAAAATCATGTAAGTTAAGCAACTGACAGTGCGTCGTTGTACCAACTATAGCTCCTCCCAGCAAGAAAAATCGAAAAATACTTTTAAGTAATTTAAAAATGATTAATAAAATGTAAAGTGATGCTTTAAGAAATGCTGCTAGTCCTTTAAAAATCTGCCTTAAAAATATCAATAGGAGGAGTAGTAATATGGCAAAAACAACGTAAACTGTGTAAGCTATATGACGAGGCCAACACTTAATTTAGAACAAAAATACCTTGCAAAAAATGCAATTCGTGGAGCGGCAAATGGCTTTTCCTTCTAACACGATCTCTCCATGAACCGCTTTCCCATCGGTTGATATAAAGATTAAGGTTAAGTTTTCCTTAAAAGCTATCAGTTCTGTTGGCAAAATTACGTTTAAATCCTTTTCTACATTAAATATAATTTCATTCCCTGAAATTCTTGCGATTAAAGAGACTACAGGTTCGTTGAAAATTAGACAATAAAGGAGATTATCATTCTTGATTACGGATAAGTTAGGCCTTCACTTATTCACAACCAACGAAAGTATTTACTAGTATGTATATTTAATTATTCATTAATTAATGAATGTTGCCATATTTTTCAGTATTCCTTTGTAAATAACGTTTGTTTGCATTTAATTTTAGGTATTTATTTATTTAAATTAGTTCTTTCGATAGTAAACGCGTGTCTTCTGAGGTTTGTAAAACATTGTATTGACAGAGTCAGGTGAGTGTGGATCCAAAAATTTATTTGCTATGGCATCGGATATCTTATCCACTATACAGGGTGATTCTAAAAAGATGGGGGAAAATTTTGGAAGTGATAGTACACACCCAGACAAACAATTTTTATCAAAGAATGCATGGTCGAAAACAAAACCCAAAACCGCTAGAGGGCGTCCTAGTTTATGTTCTTATATGAGGCAAAAACACACAAAGAACGATGAAGTTAAGTTATTAAAACAAATTTAATCGCATGTGATTACAATAAGTGTTCAAAACAGCGGCCGGCAGTGGCTATGCTGGTACAACGGCGAAGAAAAGATAGGCGAACTTTCCCTGCAGCGGCCGAAAGCTTGGCGACAAATAACGTAGCGCAGTAACTCGCAATAGGAATAGAGCTTTCTCGCTTGCATGAAAAAACTTTCCAAATGCGCCAGCACCTTTGCGTATTGTTTTCGACCATGCATTCTTTGAAAAAAATTGTTTGTCTGGGTGTGTACTATCACTTCCTAAAATTTTTCCCACCTTTTTAGAATCACCCTGTATTCTTATCCTTTTGATTTTTATCACCAGTAATTGCCCAATTTCACAATCTATCAGCGATCGAATGGTTTTGACTAGTGGTAGTCCTTATCTACCTTATTTGTTCTCGACCGCAAATTATATCAGCTCTGAGTTTACTTATCCACAGGGACTGTTTTGTCACTTATCGCTATTTTGGCGTTAGAAGTATTAGTGTTGTTTGACGATCGTTTTTGCGGCATATGATAAGAAGGGGGACAGTAATCGTCAGTTTCGTTTTCTTCATAAAACAAATTCGGTACAACATTTCTATGCGCTACTTATATATCCACGTCTGACTTCTGTGGAATTTTCTGAGTATCCGATAATAATAAGTCAGGTCGACGTTCTTCATATGCAAACATTCTATCAACATGTATCCGCATTGGTTTCGTGCGGGGTTTATTAATGTCTGCTATAGAATAATTTAAATCAGAATGTTTTTGAATTACTCGATACGGGCCTGAAATTTTTTTGAAAATGCTCGCCCTGTTTATTGATTTGTAGCTGGTGTGTAAAGATATACCTTTTGTCCTACGTGAAATGAATTTTCCTTCGCTACATTTTGACGAATTCTACTCTGCTTTTCCTCTGACATTTCGAGGTTTTTATATACATTACGATAAACAAATTTCATTTTTGATACATTTTCCTTGATGTAATTGTCACAAGGAAAGTAATGAATATTAGGTTTTACTTCCAATAAATGGAAAGGTAAAATAAGATCACGATTAAACATAAGAAATGAAGGTTTCTCATGAGTAGTGTCGTGATAAGAGTTGTTATAAATATAACTATAGTAGTCTAAATATGTATCCCAATTAGAAGTTGTTTCAGAAAGACAAGTCAAGCTCGTTTCAATACTTTTATTTATTCTCTCTGATTGACTGTTAGTCTTCTGTGGTCTATAGGGGGTAGTTTTCATTTTATGGATTTGTAGTTGTTGCGAGAGTTCATTAAAAAGATGACTCTGGAAATTCGTTCCTAAATCAGTTAAATTGGAATTTGGAATACCGAAAATGATGATAAATTTCATAAGATTATCAGCGATAGTTTCAGCAGTAATGTTTTTTAGAGGGTACAATGTTCTATATTTTGTAAAATGATCAATTATGGTTAATACATATTTATTCCCTTTAATAGACATTGGTAATGGTCCTAATATATCTAAGCTCACGAGATCCATAGGTTGAGAAGGTGTTACAAAACACCAAAGAGATTTAGTAATTGTAAAGCCTTTTCTTTCAATACATAATTTACATGAATTGGAAAATTTTTAATATCACTATAAATTCCCGACCAATAATATTTTTCCCTAATGGCACGGTAATTTTTAGAAAATGCAAAATGTACAGTTTCACAACCCTCCAATATATATGGTATTAAACTTTGAGGTATTACTATTAAGCTGTTAAATGTTTTTCTTCGTCATGCAATTTAATTTGGTGAAAACTAGAATTTGCATCCAAGGTACTAAAATAATTTGCACCTCGTAAAGAGTTTAGAATGTCAGAAATTAATGGTAATTTATAAGTTGAAGAAATTGTAATTTGATTTAGTTTACGATAATCAATAACTAAACGCCATTGATTTTCCTCCTTTTTTCGCACTAAAATTAAAGGAAAGCTATATCTATTATTTGTTTTCTCTATTATTCTTGCATTTTCTAATTCCGAAATTTGATTCTTAAGTGTATTTCGCAAGGATACAGGTACAGGAAAAGGTCTACATTGGATCAGGTTAAAATTAGTAATTTCTGTTGGAGGAGCTTCTAATGTGCATCTTCCTATAGTTCTTAAAGACGTGCTAAAATATCCGCAA